CGAAGGAAATAAAATCCAATTTACTTAATTAGCAGTCACTACATGATCTGAATCATGTAGGCACAGTCTATGAAAGTTGAGACTACCGATGAAACATACCAAACAATAGCTGACTTGTAGTCTTTAAGTGGATAAATTATATGGTATATGAGATTATAGTATTTTTTTAAAAGCTGTGAAATTAGTAACAAAATATTTCAGCCATCTGAAATCCATTTTTTTCTTCTTTCCACCCCTTTCCCCCCCACGTCCCACCAGGTCAGGCATCTGTTAACAATCTGAAAAATCTTTTATTCTTTTTTTTTGTTTGACACAAACAGTATCCACTCCTGTCGTCCAAGCTTGGGAGGCGCAGTAGTGCATCATGGCTTCACCTGGCCAGACGCCCAACCTCCTGGGCTCAAGCAAATTCCTCCCCACATGACTGGCTGGGACTACAGGGCATCAGCAGCATCACCACCCCTTAGCCATTCAATATTAAATCTTTTTTTTTTCTTTTTTTTTTTGAGACAGAGTTTTCCACCCTGTCCACCCAGGCTTGGAGTGCATGGCTCAATTTCTTGGCTCACTTGCAACCCTTCCGCCTTTTCCCGGGTTTCAAGGCAATTCTCCCTGCCTCCAGTCTCCTGGAATAGTTTGGGTATACAAGCATGAGACGCACCACGTTCTGCTAATTTTTATATTTTTGGATAGAGACCAGGGATTTTACCATGACTGGCAGGCTGGTTCTCGAGCTTCCTGATCTCAAGCATTGATCCGCCTGCTTGGCCTCCCAAAGTGTTGGATTGACAAGGTGTGAAGCCACCGCACCCCGGCCTAGAATTCTAAATTCTAACAAGAAAATAGTACTCAGAAAAAACACCTCGAATCTTCTGTGGAAATTTGATTGGCAACATGTATCTAGGACCTGATGAAATAAGTGCTGAGGAAGTGAAATTTGGGCGGCGCTACTTGGAGCTACCACAAAATGATTTCAATACTGATTCACAATATTCAATAACTGAATTACGTTACAGAACTACACTGTGAGGTACGGTTCACATATAGCATAGTTCATGCCAAAGACCAACAGCTGAAATGATAAACATGTTGAAAAACATAAACCTCTTTAGGCTGAGCAAGTCCCCTAATGACGTAGCTCTCACCCAGCTTCCCTAGGCTTTTCTCGTGACGGCTGACTTCCACACGTGAGCCCTTCTCGCTCAGCTGTACTCAAGATCAGGTGTAATTATCACCGCATTTTGTTTTCTCTCAAATAAAGGAGAGAGTACCATTGGCCTTGCCTTAATTTTATAAATTTTTAAAAAGTTATTCACCAACTTTGGGGTTTTAGTTGAAATGGCCCTCACAGCTGCTGTGGCCCAGAGCCTGCTGCTTCCCTTGGACCTTACAATAGGCCAGCTACCAGCTGCAGGCAAAAGACATCCCTATTAGCCAACATCTCCAGGAACAGATGGCTTTGGAGGAAGCAATTTATTTTCTCCTACTTACTTCCTCATTTGGGGCATCCTCCCTCTCGCTCACGGCACACTCCACTTCCTCGACGAGCACGTACTCATGGTCAGGCCCCCTGTCCCCAGCATGCAGGAGGCCGACGTGCTGGCTGCCGTCCTCATGGTGAGGGCCACACTGGAGGATGAGAGCATCTTGTTTGCAGCAACAGACTTGGGGCAGAGGTGCAGCGTCCTTTCTCACACTTTTCTCAAAGCCGTCTGTTGTTGGGTTGCACCCAGAGCCCTCCTGCAGGCAGCCTAATGGCTCACTGGGATCACCCATACCACCTGACTTTCCAGAGTCCCCGTTTACCACAGAAGGTCTCTCTCCCCCTGCTGTGCCTTCCATGTTAGAAACCATTCCAGAGTTAAGCTCGTCATACACTTGAGCCTCTTCATTCCTTTTCACAGGAGGATGCTCAAGCGGTTTCGTGTAATCCTTGAGGATTCTGCACACTGTACTCTCATCCTGCCCCTGTCTACGCATCAGCTCTGCCGCCCACTCAACACTATGCTGATACCTGCAAGACAGAAATACTGTTGGAAACAGCACTCGAATTTCAAAATTGAAAAAACAACAAAGCACATAAAAGACTAGAAGGTGACACACCGAAATGTTTACAGCATTATTTGTGAATGGTGCATTATAGATAAATATTTTTCTTTTTTATACTTTTCTGCATTTTCTTTTCTTTTTTTTTTTGAGACGGAGTCTGGCTCTGTTGCCAGGCTGGAGTGCAGTGGCACGATCTCGGTTCACTGCAACCTCCGCCTACTGGGTTCAAGTGATTCTTGTGCCTCAGCCTCCCAAGTAGCTGGGACTACAGGCACCCGCTACCACACCTGGCTAATTTTTGTATTTTTAGTAGGGTTTTGCTATGTTAGCCAGGAAGGTCTAAATCTCCTGACCTTGTGATCTGCCCGCCTCGGCCTCCCAAAGTGCTGGGATTACAGGTGTGAGCCACCGCATCTGGTCTCTGTATTTTCTAAGTGTTCTGCAACAAGCGTATGCTACTTCTTGTTTCTTTGCTTTTATAATATAGTTTCATTTTATTTATTTAAAAAAAAAAACCCAGTTTAACAAACTATGAAAATTTAATTTAAAACTGGCAGATTAAGTGATTTAGATAAATAAGCAAAAAAAAAAAAAAAAAAAAAAAAAGGCCATCCTTTATCAGGATTTTTTTGTATTATTATTACTATTTTTTTGAGATGGAGTCTTACTCTGTCACCCGGGTGGAGTGCAGTGGCACGATTTCAGCTCACTGCAACCTCTGCCTCCCGGGTTCAAGCGATTCTCCTGCCTCAGCCTCCTCAGTAGCTGGGATGACAGGCTCGTGCCACCACACCCAGCTAATTTTTTATATTTTTGGTAGAGATGGGGTTTCACCATGTTGGCCAGGCTGGTCTCAAACTCCTGACCTCAAGTGATCTGCCCGCCTTGGCCTCCCAAAGTGCTGGGATTACAGGTGGAAGCCACCGCTCTCGGCTTGTTTTGTATTATTTTCAATTTTGGATCTCATAATGTTTTCAGATAGATATGCCATTCATAATACAAAGAACTTTTGTTTAGTATTGGAAAGCAAAATGAGAATTTCAATAAATATTCATCACAGTGCCTACTAACCTCTTTACAGGATAAGGAAATGATTTGGCTTATGTAGATTCATCCAAATATTCTAAGAGAAATAGCCCCTTTCCCCACAATACTTTTCAGAGTAGATTTTAATGACAAAATTCATGTTAAGTTTCTAAAACTTGAAGCTAACACCCAAGTTACAAAACACTTCCCAAGTTACAAAAAGTTACAGGCAAAACAATAGGGCAAAGCATTCATGCCTAGGCTGCTGGGATGTGTTCATGTGATGTGAGAACTACCAGATGCTGGAAATCTGAAGATCAGAAGGTCAAAGACATTGTGAAACTCAAGTGCTTTTTGCCTGGACCTTCAGTGATCAGTCTGAAAGACATCCAAGACAACACATGGTTTGAGAGAAGGCAGATGTAATTTTACTTTTCACCTTCTTTTACCTGGTTAAGAAGACTGAATAGTGCTTGATTCGGCAGCACATATACTTAGAATGGCCCCTGCGCAAGGATGACATGCAAATTTGTGAAATGTTTCCAAAAAAAAGAAAAGACTGAGTATGTCATAGTTTATAAACTGCTATATCTCACACAATTTAACAAGGATACTGGCTTCTGCTATACCCTGATTCCTAAGAATCCCGAAGTTGTCCACACCCTGTTCACCCCACATGAGGATAAACATCAGGGATGTCTCCCTATATACTAGGAATTGTATCCTAAAGATTAACACCTGGTAAGGCTACCCTAATATCTGAGAGACAGTACGACACCATGACTTTGGTACTGCACATTTTGTGTCCAGCCCTGTTACTTACAACTGTGTGGCAATGCAAATTACTTAACTTCTCTGTGCTTCAATTTTCCCACCTATAAAATGTGGAGAGTAGTACTACCACCTCAAAGGGATCTTGTTATGTATTACTTTTAAAACCAGCAAAAAGAACACAGCTGTGCCAAAACCAGTAGGTTGTCTTCTCACCTGGAACACGGCCACCTATGCATATGTTTAAAAGAACTGTCATGTGAGAGGTCTAAAAAGAATCTCAGCTCTTCATATCAAAAGCACTGGTTCTACAGGGTCTATAAATTTCCTTTATTTGAACACAAATTTTTATGACAATGTATTTTTCTGGGGAAGGGACCCACAACTTTTGCCAAATTCCTTGACTCAAAACACATGAAAGAACCACTGATTTAAAGGGTCAACAGTTCCTCCTTTGACCAGAAGATCTGGAACGAAGCGAGCACACAGACAGCACTGCTCTGCTCCTTGCAGCAAAGCAGTCAAAGCAGACGTGGGTTCCAATCCTTGCTCCATCACATTCTCGTATTAACTGCATGACCCCACCTCTATAAAGCTCAGTGACCATCTATAGACTAGGGATAACTGCACCTACCTCGTGGGGCTGCAGCAAGGATTAAATAAGACACGTAAAGTGCAAAGCCCATAAGAAGTGCTCAATCAATATTACTATATCATTGTGGAGTTTTTAGGAGTGGCTTGAAAAATAAATCAGACTCAATATATAGTATATTGAAAAAGATGTTAATGAATGGAAATGTCTTAATTCACTGTTCTTTGAGAGCAGAGGCAGCAGTGCGGGGATGAACACAGCCTCTGGAGGTCTAGGTCCTGGAGCTGGCTCTTCCATGTGGCTCTGAGTTAAGCCACTTAGTACCTCTACCTCTGTGCTCTTCTGCCATACACCAGAACCAGGCCATACCTGTGTTCCCTTTTCAGGGTCTCAGAGGATCGCTATGAAAGGTCAAAGGAGACTGAGGCTTGAAGAGCATGTAGAAGCCTCCAAGTCAGACATGATGAAAAGAGCCACAAAAACAAATGACTAAGACAACAACATATGGGTCAGAGCTGAAGGCATCCTCCAGCTGGCTGGCAACATCTTAAAAAGCTAAGTTCTGCTGCCATCAATCCCAGATGCTGGAGCAGTTGCAGGAAGAGAAATGAGAAGTAAAAAGCAGAAAGTGTAAGGGGCAGCGTGGCAGAAGGACGAGGCAGCAGCCACGACTGGAAGCGGTGACAGGACTGGGGAAAGCAGTACCATCCAGGACCGCAAGGACACAGGACATGCCTATCCAAACACGCCATGGATTCTCATGTTTCTGCATCCTTGAACACACACCTCTCCTATTTGCACAGGGCACCGTTCTCTACTGTTGTACCGATGAACGCCCATTTACCACTGGAAGTGCACAGCAGAGTGGTTTAGAGTGGTTAGTGCACACAGGTTCTGGGGCCACAGTGCCTAAGTCCACATACTGACCCTGAGCAAGGAGCTTCACTTCCCTGTGTTCAGTTCTTCCACTTGTGGAAGATGGATAAGAACGGGACCCACCTGATGGGAGTGATGTGAGGACCTGAGACGACACACGGGCCCAACACTGGCATGATACTTAGCACTGGAAGGTGCTCGGGGAGTGCTGGTGCGCCCACCCACATGAATGCCTCCCAGGCTCTGGCACTGAGCCCATGTAATCTTGGGCAAGCTACTGAACCCTCACCTGAGTCCCCATCTATGAAACGGAAACATCTCTAGTACCTACCCTCGAAGGTTTCTTGAGAAGATGAAAGGAGGTAACGCAGGCAAGCTCAGAGACTGGGATTGGCACTGCTAGAGCAGTCAGCACCTGTTGGCCATAATGGCGATGGTATTTCTACCACAACACCACTACAGGACAGCACAACTGTTCACTTCTCTTCCTCTCTCACTAGACTAGACTGCAAATCCCTCAAGAACGGGGACTAGGTCTTTTCCTCGCTCTTGGGTCCCCAGCACCTACCCAATGCCTGACACATAGTGAATTCTGGCTGAATAAAGGACCACAACGGGGTGGGCGACCCGACTATCCGGGCTGGTCCTTCAGGGACATACCTCTACCTGTGTCAGTTCCCCAAAGGCATCACAGAAGGGTCCTGACACTTACCTTCAGAAAAAGTTACACAGAAGGTGCTCTTCACCCAAAGACGACTATTGTTGGAAAAAGGCCAATTTGAGTGAATCCACTTGAAATAGAAATCAGAATTTCAGAGGCACCAGCAAAGAAACAATTATGGCCAGGTGCAGTGGCTCACACCTGTAATCCTGGTGCTTTGGGAGGCTGAGATGGGAGGATCACTTGAGCCCAAGACCAGCCTGGGCAACAGAGCGAGACTCTGTCTCTACAAAAAACACAAACAACAATTATGACAAGTATTTAAGTTGAAAAATTATCTAAAAATATGAACACGAATCAATTTTTCTTATATTCAAAATTTAGATTGTGATTCCAAGTGTTATGAACAAATAATAAATCAAGTATCGATTTTGGTTGGGGGACATATGTAGCTTGCTGACAGAACTGTGCTGATAACATCTATAAACATCTTTAGGTCCACATACGGAAATGGATTGTAATCTGAAAATTTCTTATAAAAAATTAATCCCCACAAGCATACCCACTTCAAGCAACATTCCTGCACTGTCACTATGTGTTGAGTCTATGTCACTTTGTCCTTTGTTATGTTAATGTAAATTCAATGCAAATTGATGGCAAATTGAACATTTAAATCTTGCAAAAAAGATGCAGGATTCATGAAGTCTATCAAAGTGATCAAAGTATGGCAAAGGGATTAAAAAATGAGAATCTGGCAGTTAGACTAGAGGAGAATTGAAGGAAAAATCAACTAAGGTGATAACGCAATAAAGTATATCAAGAGCGCTGAGGAGGGAAGAGAGAATGTCTGAATGCAGACTGAGTTCACGCCAGGCTTGCTTATTAGTGAACAGTTTATCACTTTCACTTCTCAGTGCAACTCCGTAACTGTGGGGCCTTGAGTAAGGAATAGTAGGACAACATACACCTCCCAGATTACACGCCCCAGTACCTGTGAATATGACTTTATCTGGACACAGGGTCTTTGCAGATGGAATCAATTTGATGTAAGGACATAGTGACTGGTGTCCTTAAAAGAGGCAAAATATCACATGTACCCGTACCCTGAAAATACATACATCTATCAATTTTTTTCATGCAAAAAAAAACAGAGAAAAATTTGGACAAAGACACACAGAAACACACAAGGGAGTGACCACAGAGGCAGAGATTAGAGTGATGCATCTGCAAGCCAAGGAATGCCAAGGGGTGCCAGGAGCCAGCAGAAGTGAAGGCAGGCAAAGAAGGATGCTCCCCTAGAGCCATCTGAGGGACTGTGGCCCTGCCAACACCTTGAGTTTGGAATTCTGGTGTCCAAAACCATGAGAATAAATTTCTGTTGTTTTAAGCCATCGAGTCCGTGGTACTTTGTTATGGTGGCCCTAGGAAATGAATACTAGGGTCAGTGAAACTTCTTGGGACATTGCAGTGCTCACAAAGGGATGCTCTTCAGGGAGGCAGCCCTCTCCCTGTGCAGAACCTCTATGCTGGCAAGCTGGCTTGACCTTACGTCATGCTGTGGCCAGCCTAGCCAGGATGCAGTTCTGATGGGCAAGCTCCTGCTATTTCTGATCCCTAGGTTTCTGTTGTGGCAATCTGTCTATACTATAGCTCCTCCAAGACTGGGGGCTCTGCCAGGTTCTCAGCAGGTCCCTCCCACACACCAGAATCCCACTCCTGACCCCTGCCTGAGGTTACAGCCAGAACAGCCATTGAGATTTTCCTGGTGCCACCACTCCTTGCCACCCCGCTGGCTATGGGGTTGCCAGGCATGTAACCAAAAAGGAGCTGCTGGATTTTGCCCGTATAGGCTAGAAGCAAGATGAACAAAATCACTGAGACTTGAGAAGTTTTATAAGGTTTCATGGAAGAGCTGAGACTTGTACTGTACCACAGGCACAAGGAGGTCTGGGATGGATGGAGACAGCCAACAATCTTACCAAGGGACCACAAAGTGTGGTGCTGAAGAGAGAAGGGCCTGATCTCTGCTCTCCAAGCACTGACAGTCTGAACCTATGTATGACACATGAGGAGAGTGCTGCACGCCAAAGAGGACTGTGGGGGCCAGAGGAGCAGCACCCAGGACAGAGGACGGTATGGTGGTAAGGAGAGAAACCCAGGAGAGATCATGCATGAGTAGGATCGAGGACATGCAGGAATCAGCCAGGCCGTATGTGTGTGTTTGGGGAGTCGGGGAGAAACCTTCCAGGAATGTCCAGGATTAAATGAGGAAGGGCCTCTGTGAAAGCCTCTTTCTCTGACCCTACAGTGTAGCTGGAGGAGGGGGACAAGACCATCTGTGCCCACTGGGCAGAAGGCTGGTTCAAAATCTAGGCCCAAGAATATGAGGACTTAATAACATAGCTATCACAGGATAGTTATTCATAATTTGGAAAGAATTCAACTGGCAAAACAGTATTTAAACAAACCATAAACTCACGTAAGGCATTTCAAAAATGACTTGATTCACATTAAATTCAGACATCATTTTCAAGGATACATCTACTACCAAAAAGAGAAAGGAAAAAAGGTATGGACTGGACTACTACATGGGACAAGACTACCTAAAAACATCTGACTTAAACCATCATTTTGACAGAAGCCAAAGTTCGTTATGACTTACCTCTTTGATGTGATGATAGGCATGTTTGTCTTCACATCTGGAACAAAGAAGTTCTATTAGTTTCAGGCAAATTTCCCATAAAGGGAACAAACACTAAAAATCTAGTAAAGACTGAGAATTTTAAGGTTCACAAAATCACACACCTAGAAAGTTAATACTGTCCAGTCAGCAATGGCAAAAATATGCTTTCTATGCCATCCTTCCCTGAACCCATACCCTTGGCAGGTGCTGCCCATCAATCACATCAGTCTTGGTGGGCTTACAGGGGACCTCAGAATCCTTCTCAACTCAGGGCTCCAGCTAAGCAGCAAAACTGACACAAAGTCTATCCCATTAGGTTGAACAATCAAATCACTATAAAGTTAGTCAAATGGCCAGGCTCAGTTGGCTCAGTCCTGTAATCCCGCACTTCGAGAGGCTTTGACGGGTGGATTGGTTCTGAGCTCAGGAGTTCAAGACCGAGCCTGGTACATGGTGGAACCTGTCTCTACAGAAAACACAAATATTAGCCAGGTGTGGTGTGCATGCGCCTGTGAGTCCCAGCTACTTGGGAGGCTGAGGTAGGAGGACGGCATAAGCCCAGGAGGTGGAGGTTGCAGTGAGTCTGAGATTGCGCCACTGCACTCAGGCCTATCTCCAAAAAAATCAAAAAGTTACTCAAAATAATTTCTCCCTGTGTGGTTATACAACCAACTTGATTAGCTTTCAGTTCTTCATTTCTTATTTTAAAAAATCCTTGTAAAAATTTAACTTGTTTTTTTTTTTTGGAGACGGAGTTGCATTATGACCGCCAGGCTGGAGTGCAGTGGCGCAATCTTGGCTCACTGCACCCTCTGCCTCCAGGGTTCAAGTGATTCTCCCTGCCTCAGCCTCCCAAGTAGCTGGGATTACAAGTGCCTGCCACCAAGCCCGCTCATTTTGTATTGTTTAGTAGAGACAGGGTTTTGCCATGTTGGCCAGGCTGGTCTTTGAACTCCTGACCTCAGGTGATCTGCCCGCCTCAGCCTCCCAAAGTGCAGGGATTACAGCGTGATTACGGCCGGGCCGACTATTATTTTTTTAAAAAGTGTTGGCAAGGGATGTGGAGAAATTGGGAACCTTTGGTGCATTGCTGGTGGGAATGTACAATGATGCAGTCAATGTGGAAAATAGTTTGGCTAGTTCTTAAAATGTTAAACAGAACAATTACCATATGACGCCATTGACTCCACTCCTGGGCTATATATCCAAAACACATAAAAAAATAGACTCGAATACGTACATGCCAATGTTCACAACAGTATTATTCAGAAAAGCCAAAACACAGAAACAATCTAAGTGTCAATCAGCAGATGAGCTAAAGGCACTATGTCCAAACAATGGAAATATTATTCCACTATAAAATGAATGAAGTTTCTGATACGACGCTATCGGCAGGGACGAAACCTTGAAAACATGCTAAGTGAAAGCAACAGACCACAAAAGGGCAGATATTGTATGATTGCATTTTATAATGAAATATCTGTTAATAGGTAAATCCATAGACGGAAAACATATAAAGGTTACCAGTGACTGAAGGAGAGACAGGAATGGGGAAAGAAAACAAAGTAAATGCATATATAGATTTGGCTAGACAACTTGCCAGAATTCACTCCCATGAGGGCTGCACCACAAGCCCACCACCAGCAATGCAAGAGAAGGTCGTTTCTGAAGTCCTCACCAATGCAGTATATTGTCCAGACTTTTGGATTTCTGCCTGATTGTTGAAATCGGTATCTCAGTGCAGTTTTAATCTGCATATTTTCTTATAAAAAACATTTAAAAGATCCTTTCTAATTATGTTTAACATGCTGGTATTGGTTTTAAGTGATTACCATGAGAATTCCTTTAGAGAAATACTCTAAAACAATTGCAAATTAAAGAGAATCAGCAGGAAGAACTATACACATACATGTCATGGCTATTAATAAATTCTAATTCTGGAAACAAAATTTTAAAAATGTTGTGCATAGTGCCACAGGTGAGCAGGTACTTAACTACCAGTACCTGCCACAGGCATAGTACTCTGCTAAAGCAAACACACTTAACAACAGAAAAGCCAATTAACCACTTGATAATTATGAAATTAAACACGCATGTCACCCAATCTAACCCTCTTTGGCTTTGATTAGAATTATTCTTTGGCAGTAAAACACGCCAGTGTACATGTTTACTTCTCCTAGAATTTTACCTATACAATCTGAGGTATTAAGATCAAAAAAAAATAAAGGAAATGATAACTTTGTCAAAAGAACTGAATGACTACAACTTTACCTTTCCATTTAGCAACCAGTTTAGGATCTGAAATTGTGAAGTTTGGACAGCTTCTTGAAAGAATACTTTTCCAAATAACCCTCTCCCCAGGAAGAGAAAACAAAGTTAGTTCATGTTTAGTTGCCAGTTTTTTTAGCTGAGGTAGAATATACAGTAATCCCTCAGGTATTCACACGGGCTGGTTCCAGGACCTCTGGTGGATAACAAAATCTGCAGAGGGTTGAGTCCCAATATAAATGGTGTAGATTTATATATAGTCTATGTAGTCCTCCCATATACTTAAATCATCCTAGGCCTACTTATAATATCTAATGCAATGCAAATGCTATGTAGAATAGTTGTTATACTATATTGTTTAATACAAGAAAATAAAGTCCCAATTTAGTACAGATGCAATTTTTCTTCTCAAATATTTTCAATCGAAGGTTGGGTGAATCCACAGAAAGTGGCACCCATGATATGGAGGGCCAACTGTACCCATCTGAGTTAACAAGAGGTTGCTCCCACTTTCCACGTTCTGTGACATTTTCCTCTGCGATATTCTAATGACGACTAAGGAGTTCTTAGCTATTACCCTTTCTAATCACTTCAAGAGTACTAGTAAGTTTTTGGCACACATCATTTATCCATAACTAATGCTTTCAGTCTAGGTCTTATAAGCCGAGGGCAGGCAGAGGCAGAGTTTTCTTCTTTACATATGGTTGGGAACACACTGCCTGAAAGCAGGAGCCATGCTGCCCACCAGGTCCAAAAAAAACCTCTTGGATTCTTTCATACTCCAGAATTGAAGTATTCCTTCTCATTCCTGCTGATTCCAAAAACAACATGCTTTTTCCCTTTTTACTATAAATATAGTTTAAACATCATCTATGAAAATTGAAAGTAATACAAACAAACACCCCTTTCAGTCACAGTCTAGATTGTCCAACACCAGACTACAAAGAGGCCAGGCATGGGTGGCTCGACACACTGATAACATCCCAGCATCTCCGTGGCGACAGCCGCCGCGCACCATGGAGCAGATGCGACTATGATGACAGGGTGTGTTGCAGATCACCACACCCTGGACAATATACATGCCTTGGAAGACCCTCTCTTATTCAGAAGAATACTAAAAAATGTTTATGACAGTGAACAGTAATGTGGCATGGAGTACACTGCAGTGCGCCCAGCTTTATCTCTGGGAGCGTAATGCTCTGAGGTGAAGAAGCATTTGAACCTGGAGGCAAGAGGTTGCAACGCAGCTGAGATCACGTCACTGCCTCTAAGCTTGGTGACAGGGAAGACTCTGTCTAAAAAAACAAACAAACAAAAAAA